TTGGTTGACACGGCCGTGCTTTCAGCCCGTGTTTGCAGCTTGAATTTGCCAAACTCAATTAGCTCTCGGCAGTAAAAGCACGGCCACAGAACACGACCGTGTTCTGTTTTAGGTGTGCCCGTGTTTTGGCTCCAGCTCGACGAAATGACTTCTGAATGCCCCGAAACTCGTGCTTAGCCTTTCCTTTGACGCCTGGGACCTGAAATATGACAAAATAGCACAACCCGGCGTAAAATAGGCCAAAAATACACGACTATGCCCCTCAAACGGATAAGAACTAGGGGCGCAAATATGTGCAATTACATCGTTATCAAATTCCCCCACACTTAACCGTTTGCTTGTCCCCAAGCAAACCTAACTCAAACCAATGCAACTTTCCAGACCTCTATAGCAACCAACAACCCAGATCGTAGGTAGAGGACTTCCTAGATCATTTAGCAACTTACGAGGTCAACCGACGCACAAGTCATCTCATAGCTCCTTCAGTGAGAGCACAACCCGACGTAAAATAGGCCAAAAATACACGACTATGCCCCTCAAACGGATAAGAACTAGGGGCGCAAATATGTGCAATTACATCGTTATCAAATTCCCCCACACTTAACCGTTTGCTTGTCCCCAAGCAAACCTAACTCAAACCAATGCAACTCTCCAGACCTCTATAGCAACCAACAACCCAGATCGTAGGTAGAGGACTTCTTAGATCATTTAGCAACTTACGAGGTCAACCGACACACAAGTCATCTCATAGCTCCTTCGGCGAGAGCTCTAGTATCGAGTCGGCATCATGGCGAATAGTGAACAGAGGAAAGATGAATTGTGGATGAAGAGATTCCCAAAAACAAAGGATCATGGACTCACATTTTTCAAGGTGCTCTATTTTCTTCTTGAAGATGGTTGGAACCCCTTTTCTTTCTGTTTTGCTTGTTTTCTGTTATTTTTTTTTTCTTTTTTTTTTCTTTCAAGCGTCCCAACCTGCTCTTACCAGCCATGCCAGGAGCGGATGTCTCGAGCCTCGTGCGGGGGAAAGACATGTAAGGGGGCTAGAGGTAGTAGGTGGAAATTGGGAACGAATTCCCGTCTCCCCTTACACACTTTCGCCCTATTCGCACGGGAGACGTTATTTTGAAGCACATTTTCGAGCACCTGTTATTTTCAAGACATGATACAAGAGTCCATGACAGGTAGAGAGTCCACAACACCACACAATTCAAGGGTCCTAAGATCACTAATTCACTCAATCAACCAACACAATATGAAGAAGAAATGAGACTTCTTAAATGCATCAACATCCTCCATAGTACTACACTACCTCCCTAGGTTGCATATTACTATAAAGACTGTCAATTCAAAGCATACTGAGCAGGCAATTGCACGGAACACGTACTTGGAGCCCTCAAATTAAAAAATTTGGACAGTGGACTAGGCTCCAAGCACACAAACAGATCTAATGCAGTCAAAAGATAAACACCCCCCCCCCCCCCACACTTAAGATCGACATTGCCCTCAATGGAGAAGAGGGAAGGGAAAGGGGAACTATGTAACCGGTATGCACGGACTGTAAGAGGCTGGAAGCGGACCAGTCGAGTGACGCGGACTGGATAGAGGACCAGTCAAGACGAGCACAGCTAAAGGAGAACAGAAGAGCTCAAACACAATATGTTAGGTCCAATGTCATCCCAATAAGACATCATCCAAAACAAAAGAAAACAAACCAAAACCAAACTGGTTTACAATCCGACTCAAAACACAAGAAAGAAAATCAAACCGTGGTGGGGTTGCCTCCCCACAAGCGCTTCTTTACCGTCTTTTAGCTGGACGCCCATGGTGGATACTCAGGGAGGTGCAGGAACAGGCGCTTCCAAGAGCGGATCCACGTCGCTCTTGAGGTACAGCTTCAGGTTGTGGCCATGCACCCGACGGGTGCGACCACCATCATCGGTCAGCTCGACCTGGCCATCGGGCAAGATGCAGGCGAGTGAGTACCCAGACGGCCAGGGTGGTCGTGGTGCAGGAGGTGGGACCAGCTCATAGTGGTCTCCACCCTTCTTCCGTGCAGGTTTAGCAACCTGCTGCTTCGGCCGCCACTCCTCCTTGATCTTTTTGTTTTGAAGCGAGACTGGATGGAGTGGCGGCGAAGGAATGATAGGAGGGTCCTGCAAAATAAGAGGTGCAGAAGGATACACGACATGCTCGTGTACCTGATCAGAAATGGCATGCACAGGTGTGACAACAATCATAGCACAGTGATCGAATTCAGTCACAGAAAAAGTAGCCTGTTCATTCCCAGCACGCAGGATCAATTTACCATCATGCACATCAATAAGTGCCTTGGCGGTGGCAAGAAATGGTCTACCCAGAATCAAAGGCACATCCACATCCTCATGTATATCAAGAATAACAAAATCAACAGGATATGTGAATGCACCGACCTTGACAAGCAGATCCTCTATGATTCCCCTAGGATGCACAATGGAACGATCAGCTAGCTGAATGCTCATCCTAGTAGGGCTAAGTTCACCTAGGTCTAGCTTTTTATACAACTTATATGGCATGACATTTATGCTAGCGCCTAGGTCCGCCAAGGACTTGCCTACATGCATGCTGCCAATAGTAAAAGGGATAGTAAAACTCCCTGGATCCTTGCGCTTTTTGGGCAGCTTGTTCTGCAGGATAGCAGAACACTCCTCGCTCAGCAACACTGTCGAGAGATCCCCAAGTTTCTTCTTGTTGGTGAGGAGATCTTTCATGAACTTGGCATACTTGGGCATCTTCGACAGTGCCTCCACGAACGGTATGCTGATGTTGAGCTGCTTCAACATTGCCATAAACTTGGCAAACACAGTCTCCAACTTGTCTTTGTGTAGGCGAGTGGGGAAGGGAAGCTGGGGTACATGCTCCTTAACCACTGGTTGTGGCTTGGGAGTAGGGGCTTCCTTCTCCACCCGCACTTCTGCATCGTCGGCTAGAAGGGCTGAAGCAGGTAGTGGGTCCTCCTGCCTAGCCGGGACAGGATTAGCAGATATGGCCTTACCGCTCCTGGTAAAAATGGCATCCAACTGCTGGAGCTGGCGAGGATCCCGAGGATTCGGGATAGTGGTGGCAGGCAGAGTCCTCGGTGCCCTGATAGTGTTTTGGCGGGCCAAGATGCCCACCTGGGTCTGCAGATCTTGCAAAATGGCACCCTGGTTCCGCTGACCTGCCTCCAGTGACGTGATAGCAGCCCGAGTGCTAGTCATGAATGAAGCTAGAATATTTTCCAGCTTTGTCATTCGGTCATCTGGAGCCGGAGCTGCTGCTGGCTCAGCGAACTGGCACTGGGGCTGCTGGAATGGTTGCCCCTGTCTAGGCTGGTAGGGCTGCTGCTGTGGGGCTGGCCCCTGTCGAGCCTGGAAGGGCTGCCTCTGCTGAAAACCACCTGCTGGTGCTGGGAAACCAGGTGGTTTAGTGGTGTTGCTGCTCCAGGCGAAGTTGGGATGCTGGCGCCACCCCTCATTATATGTGTTGCTGTACGGGTCGAGGCGCCGAGCATTGGCGATGAAGTCCAACTGCTCTTGGGGAGTGGTAGACTCCCTCATAGCCTGGCAGTCCTCCACTAGGTGATTGGAGCTCTCGCACCACTGACATTGAGCTACTGGAGGTGTAGCCGAACCTCTGCCCGGAATCAGACTGTTGGGCTGCTTCAGTGTCTGCACTAACTCAGCTACCTGCTGCTCAAGCCCGGATCTGGTCTCCATGGCGTGCACACCACGGTCCCGGGAATGTCTGCCTCGGCTGCTCTGCCCCCAGGAATGATCTCTGACAGCCAAAGTATTGATCATCTAGTTCAGCTCGGGTGGAGTCTTAGTGAGAACATCCCCTCCTGGGCATAGAGACTCAATCACCCTCTGGCTGTCTGGAGAGAGAGCACTGTAGAAGTTCCCCACTGTGAATGCATCACTAAAGCCATGATGGGGACACTGCCAGAAATAACCCATGTACCGCTCCCATACATCACGAAGTGACTCATCTGGCTCTTGGCGGAAGTGAGTGATCTCCCGCTGGATCTCTGTAGTCTTCGATGCCGGATAGTACCTGTGCACGAATTTGTCAGCCAGATCGTCCCAAGAGGTGATGGACAATGGGGGCTGGGTCTCCAACCACCTCTTAGCATTCCCCGCCAGAGAATGGGGGAAGAGATGAAGGCGGATTGCATCATCCGGGACACCATTCAGCTTGAACCGTTCGTCAGCTGCAAAAAACGGGAAAGATGCACCCTGGCCTCCTCATCCTTCAAGCCATGGAACTGGATAGAGGATGTAATGAGCTGAATCCAGCATGGCTTGATCTCGAAGTTGTTTGCTGGAATAGGCGGGTAGAGGATGACCGGGCGGATGTCAGCAATCCGTGGAGTGTAGTAGTACTCCAAGGTGGGACCCGGCTGCGGTGGATGATGAACCCCATGATCCTGGGGTATGGGGTTGTTCCCCAGGACCTGATTCACCGGGGGAACCTGCTGCGGATTCCCCTGGTGTTGATTGTAGTCTCCGTCCATCCCGTGATCTTCTTCAGAATCGCTACTCAGGTGGCCGTCTATGCGCTCTTCCGTAGCCAGTCTAGCTCGCTGTTGTCTCCTGAGCTGGCGATAGGTGCGGTCAATCTCTGGATTCAACGGCAGTAAACCTCCTGACTGGCTACGGGTCATGCACTACCTGCACACACTCAAGCAAGCAAACCCGTGAAGGCACAAGTAGGACAAAGCAAACAAAGCAAAAAGAAAAATTAAATTAACAGAAATCACTTTTCTTCAACAACCTAGCCGTCCCTGGCAACGGCGCCAAAAACTTGACTCACTTCTACTGTCACTCCAGGAATTGGCCAAGTGAAACCACTTCCTAAAGCGTAGTATAGTGGGTTTGGGTTTAAATGTCAACCCGGGTCCTAGATTTGATGACTACTCAGTGAATTCTTGTTATCTAGCAATGAAACTTTAATGCAAGTCTAAACTAACAAACTAACAAAGCAAGTAAACTGTTGTATTCAGGTTAAGAGAGGTCACCCGGATATGGTTCCCCCTAGACTGCAGTTAAGCCGGATTGTAATTACCAAGTTCAGTTTCTATGATAGTTATACTGCGGAAGGTTCTTAAACAGCCTGAAGTCTCGACTAAAGGTCTTCAGACCCTCTCAATCTGAGTCTCTGGCGGGCGGCTAACCTCCACCGGAGTAAACAGATTGAGGCCCTATGAACAAAACCTCCACTACCGAAGTAAATCCGGTACATAATAGTGAGTTGGCTCCTCGACTAAAGTCACCAACTCCCTACCTTCAATCAAGGATGCTCTATCAACCTAGGCAGATATTCTCATTCTAGGTTAAAGCAGAAACAACAGGAATTTGATCAGGATTCAAGTCATTCAATCATTCAAACCTCAATCGAATATAATCAAATCATAGAATCAGTACTTGGGTTCATACAATCAAAGCCTAACATACAAATCTAGGGTTCTCCATACCCAAATGAATAGGAGAACTACTCCATGGAGAAAGAAGCAAAAGCAGAATCAGACGCGGAATTCATACTGTGAAGGATGGATTCCTGCTCCTGGACGTTGATCGGCACTTCTCCAAGCTCAAACTGGCCTCCAATGGTGTTGAAGATCGAGCTAGGGAACTTGGAGACTCTTGTTCGTCGCTTTCTCTCTCTAGGAATCGCTCTATCTCTCTAAAACTCGAATCCCCTTCTGTTTTGGCTGAAATCTGCTTAAAAGGGCATCAGTGGCCAAAGCACGGTCGAGGGCACGGCCGTGCTTTGCCTCAGCCCGCCCGTGCTTTGGCTAGGGTTAATTACACGGCCACCTGTTGGTGCAAACACGGCCGTGCTTTTGAGAGGACACGGCCGTGCTTTGGTTGACACGGCTGTTCTTTCAGCCCGTGTTTGCAACTTGAATTTGTCAAACTCAATTAGCTCTCGGCAGTAAAAGCACGGCCACAGAACACGGCCGTGTTCTGTTTTAGGTGTGCCCGTGTTTTGGCTCCAGCTCGACGAAATGACTTCCGAATGCCCCGAAACTCGTGCTTAGCCTTTCCTTTGACGCCTGGGACCTGAAATATGACAAAATAGCACAACCCGGCGTAAAATAGGCCAAAAATACACGACTATGCCCCTCAAACGGATAAGAACTAGGGGCGCAAATATGTGCAATTACATCGTTATCAGGTTGACAAGTGGTGAACATGCATCGGCGCCCAGTTCACGGACGTGTTTGCCTGTTCATGGTCTTAGAGACCGTGAACTTAGCAATTCGTCCGTGAACTGAAGTGAAATCAGGGCACTTTGCAAAAATTTTGCCTCAACCTATTCCTCTATGCCTCCTAATAAACCACATCACAACCATAAACCGCAAAAACACAACACTCAGCATGGAGACACCACTTCACCACTCAAACCCTTCAGAAGACACTAAAACGAAAACTAAGGAAAAGAAAACAAACCTTTGTTGGGTTGCCTCCCAACAAGCGCTTGTGTATCGTCATTAGGTTGACGCTTGGGGATCAATCACGATTTCAAACGTGATGCCACCGAGAGCGGATCCATCACACTCTCGGGGCGAGGCTTGTAGCCTCTTATCTTAGTGTCATTGAGTTGGCCCTCTTGGTTGGCAAACCTTGCTCCGGGCTCCCCCGTCTTTCGAGTTAAAGCTCCTTTCATCTTTCTTCTCCAAGCATTCAATCTTGGACCTTTTGGCTTAGGACCCTTCTTAACTTCCTTCTCAACATCATCAAAGACAAGTCAAGTAATGGTGGGGTTTGCCTTAGGAGGCTCTCCTCCACTCTCATTCACATCATTTGAGACTACCCCCTTCACTTCATCACTCCTCACCCTAGGATCAATTTCAAGCTTGATTCTCTCCTTACCATCCCTCAAAATTAGGGTTCCCTCATTAACATCTATCGATGCCTTGGCGGTTGCAAGAAAGGGACGAATGAGGATGAGGGGCATATCAGAGTCCTCACTTATGCCGAAAATCACGAAATCGGTCGGATAGCAAAACTTGCCCACTCTCACCATCATGTCCTCCACTATATCTCTCGAGCTAATGACCGAACGGTTGGCTAAGGTGATGCTAAGCTTAGAGGTCTTAAGGTCACCTACTTCTAAATTTTTGAAAAGCTTGTAGGACATCACATTCACACTAGCTCCTAGGTCAGCCAAGGCATTGTCTATATGGTGATCACCAATATCAAGAGGGATAGTAAAGCTACCTGGGTCAGAATGCTTTTTGGGCAAGCGGTCGAGGAGGAAAGACGAGCACTCCTCGCCAAGAGTCGCATTTGCGAGGCCTTCAAGCCTTGGCTTATTGATGAGGAATCCTTTGAGGTACTTGGCATATCTTGGCATTTGTGCCATGGCTTCGAGGAATGGGACATTGAGGTGGAGGTTGTGTAGCATTTCCATGAATCCTCCACACTCATTGTCCAACCTCTCCTTGTACATCCTTGTGGGATAAGGAAGAGGTGGCAAATATCCATCCTTTGGCAATGCCTTGCTTGCCGCCTTCCTCTCATTCATCGAGGGCTTCTTCTCTCTTCTTATTGGGGTGGTCTCTTCCTTCTCCATTTCTTCTCCCGTAGAGACCTCCGGAACCACCTTCACACTCCTCACTTGCAGTGCATTTACCCCGACTTGATCCTTGGGGTTCACCATGGTTTGGGAAGGTAAAGCTCCCTTGGGTCTCTTAGTGAGGACACCGGCAAGGTTGCCTATTTGCACCTCCAAACTTTGAAGGCTCGCTTGATGGCTCCGGAGACCCGCCTCAACCGACGTAAACTTGGTAGTCGCCACATCCATAAATTGCTCAATCTTCTCGAATTTTTGGCTAATCGTACTCACAAAGGTGTTCATTAGCTCCTCAAGTTTGGATAACTTGTCAGGTTGATGTTGCTGTTGAAACCCTAGTGCACCTTGTGGTTGGTACGGTTGTTGAAAGTTTGAGCCTTGGAGTTGTGGCCTTTGTTGGATGAAGGTTGGCCGAGGTTGGAAGTTCCCCGTGGGGCCTTGGAAACTCGAGGGCCTTGGATTAACCGGTGATGCCCAATCAAAGTTGGGGTGGTTCCTCCATCCGCGGTAATAAGTATTGCTATACGGGTTGTTGACCCTAGCATTTGCCACATAGTTGATTTGCTCCTCCGGAGTGGTTGCCTCCTTCATTGCTTGGCACTCCGCTATCTCGTGGCTAGTACTCGAGCACCAGTCGCACGACATTACCGCCCTTTTTCCTTGCCTTTTATCTTCAAGCATAACCTTGAGCAACTTATCCAACTTTGCCTCAAGCGGAGCACTCGCTCCCACGCTTCTCACTCCCCTTTCATTACTTCTTCTTCCACTTCGAGTCAACCCCCAATCATAACCCCTAAGTTCCATGTCTTCTAGGATCTCGGTAATTTGGGGAGGAGCCATATTCATCAACTTCCCCTGACATAAGGAGTCAATGATGAATTTATCTTCTTGCATTAGGCCTCCGTAGAAGGTTTTAATCCGAAACTGTTCCTCAAACCCGTGGCGGGGGCACTGAAGAAAGTACTCGGAGTACCTCTCCCGAGCATCCCTTAAGGTTTCGTCCTCTTCTTGCTCGAAATGTGTAATCTTCTTTCTCCACTCCGCCGTCTTCGAAGGCGGGCAATAACGAGCCATAAACTTGTTAAAGAGGTCGTCCCATGAGGTGATAGCCCGAGGTGGGCGGTTGTTTAGCCACCTAAGTGCCTTCCCCGAGAGTGAGTATGGGAAAAACCTTAGTTGCAAAGCCTCGGCCGTCACACCATTAATCTTCAAGCTCTTCGCGAGCTCCAAGAATCTATGCACGTGCTCTCTTGGTGACTCGCTCTCATGGCCGTTGAAGAGAGCATTGCTTTGTATCATAGTCACTAGAGCCGGCTTGATCTCGAAATTTTTTGCCGCCACCGGAGGATGTAGGATCGGTGATTGAATGTCAGCTGGCCTTGGGGTCATATAGTACTGATAGACCGTTAATTGCACACGTTTTTACCCCTATTCTTGAGCCGTTTGAGATGTTGATTCTCGTGTTTTAACCCAATTTCACGCTAGGTTGTGTGTTTATGTCATATTTCAGGGCTTGGCGTTAGCATCGAGGCGAAGAAACGAGTTTCGGGTCGAAAGGAGGACGTTTGAGTTGAAGTGTGCTGGAGGAGCAAAATACCCGGCCATGGGAAAAAAATACCCGACCGGGTATTAATCTGAGCAGATCGGGGAAAACCTCTTTTGGTCGTTAGAAAAGCAAAAGGGGGCCCGGGCATTAAGGAAAAATCCCCGGTCGGGTATTCTTGACCTTGACCGGGGATTAATCCCCTGTCCGCGACGGTGAGTTTCAAGAATCCCCGGTCTCCCCCTAAAATACCCGACCGGGTATTCTGATCGGGGATCGCGATTTACAGCTTCTTAAGGGAAAAGAAGGGAAAAGTTGAAGGGTTCCGAGTTTTAGAGAGAGAAAGCGTCTACCTAGAGAGAGAAAGTGACGAACCTGATTCTTCAAGTGCCTTAGATCGATCAACGTCACCATTGGAGCCCGGATTGAGCTTGGAGAAGAGCTGATTGAGTGCCAGAAGCGGAATCTCATCCTTCACAGAATGGTTTCCGCATCTGACCTAGATTTCCCGTCTCTCTCTATGGAGTAACTTTCTCTTTCACCTGGGTATGAAGAACCCTAGATTTGTATGTTAGGTTTGATTGTATGAACCGAAGTACAGATTCAGTGATATGATTATATTCAATTGAGGTCTGATATGTTGAATGGCATGAATCCTGATCAAATTCCTGTTGTTTCTACTTTAACCTAGAAAGAGAATATATGCCTAGGTTGATATAGCACCCTTGATTGAAGGTAGTGAATTGACGACTTTAGTGGAGGATTCAATTCACTATTCTGTATCGGATTTACTTCGGTAGCGGAGGTTTGGTTCGTTAGGGCCTCAATCTGTTTACTCCGGTGGAGGTTAGTTGCCCGTTGGGGACTCAGATTGAGAGGGTCTAGAGACCTTTAGTCGAGACTGCAGACTGTTTAAGAACCTTCCGCAGTATAACTATCATTGAAATTGAACTTGGTAAATTACAATCCGGCTTAACTGTAGTCTAGGGGGAACCATATTCGGGTGACCTCTCTCAACTTGAAAACAACCTTTAACTGCTTTGCTTGTTTGGACCTTCACTACACTTTCACTGCTAAATAATAAGAACTCACGGAATAGTCATCACACTTAGGACCTGGGTTGACATTAAAATGCAAACCCGCTATACTACGCTTTAGGAGGTGGTTACACTTGGCCATTTTCTAGAGTGACAGTAGGAGCGAGTCAAGTTTTTTGCGCCGTTGCCATTGCCGGGGACGGCTAGGTTGTTGAAGAAACGTGGTTTCTGTTAATTTAGCTTTTCTTTTTAGCATTATTTGTTTGCTTTGTCACACTTGTGCCTTCACGCGTTTGCTGCTTGACTGTGTGCAGGTAGTGAATGACCCGTAGCCAATCAGGAGGTTTACTGCTGTTGGATCCGTAGCTTGAACGCACCTTTCGCCAACTTAGGAGACAACAGCGAGCTAGACTAGCTACGTAGGAGCGCATAGACGGCCACTTGAGCAGCGATTCCAAGGACGAGGACGAGATGAAAGGTGAACATAACCCGCCCCAGGGGATACCTCTCCAGGTTCCCCAGGTAAACCAGATCCTGGGGAACAACCCAATACCCCAGGCAGATGGGGTTCATCATCAACCACCGCCGCCGGGTCCCACCTTGCAGTACTACTACACTCCACGGGTCGCTGATATCCGCCCTGTCATCCTCTATCCGCCCATCCCAGCGAACAACTTGAGATCAAGCCATGCTGGATTCAACTCATTACATCCTCTATCTAGTTTCATGGCTTGAAGGATGAGGAGGCAAGGGTGCATCTTTCCCGTTTCCTGCAGCTGACGAACGGGTTCAAGATGAACGGTGTACCCGATGATGCGATCCGCCTTCACCTCTTCCCCCATTCTCTGGCGGGGCATGCAAAGAGGTGGCTAGAGACCCCACCCCCATTGTCCATCACTTCTTGGGACGATCTGGCCAACAAGTTCGTGCATAGGTACTATCCGGCATCGAAGACTACAGAGATCCAGCGAGAGATCACTCACTTCCGCCAAGAGCCAGATGAGTCACTTCGTGATGCATGGGAGCGGTACTCGGGGTTTTTCTGGTAGTGCCCCCATCATGGGTTCAATGATGCATTCACTGTGGGGAACTTCTACAGTGCTCTCTCTCCGGAAAGCCTGAGGGTGATTGAGTCTCTATGCCCAGGAGGGGATATTCTCACTAAGACTCCACCCGAACTGAACCAGATGATCAGTACCTTGGCTGCCAAAGATCATTCCTGGGGGTAGGCACTAGAGGCAGGAATTCCCGGGATCGTGGTGTGCACGCTATGGAGGCCAGGTCAGGGCTAGAGCGGGAGGTGGCTGAGTTAGTGCAGACATTGAAGCAGCCCAACAGTCTTATTCCGGGCAGAGGTCTGGTCGGACCTCCAATAGCTCAATGTCAGTGGTGTGAGAGCTCGAACCATCTGGTGGAAGACTGCCAGGCTATGCGGGATTCATCTACACCTCATGAGCAGTTGGTCTTCATCGCCAATGCTCGATGCCTTGATCCATACAGTAATACATACAATGAGGGGTGGCGCTAGCATCCCAACTTCTCTTGGAATGGAAACATCACCAAACCACCTGGTTTCCCAGCACCAGCTGGTGGTTTTCAGCAGAGGAAGCCTTTCCAGGCCAGACAAAGGCCAGTTCCATAGCAGCAGCCCCTGTGTCAGTATGCCGAGCCAGCAACAGCTCCAGCTCTAGATAATCAGATAACTAAGCTGAAAAATATTTTAGCGGCATTCATGACTACTAGCCAGGTCAACTTTGCCAGGATCGACCAGAACATCGCCTCGTTGGAGGCAGGGTAGCCGAACCAAGGTGCCATATTGCAGGACCTCCAACATCAGATTGGAGGAATAGCCCGCCAGAATAATACCAGGGCACCAGGGACTCTGGCTGCCGCCACCATCCCTAATCCTCGCGAGCCTCACCAGCAGCTGGATGCCATCTTTACTAGGAGTGGCAAGCCAACATCGGCTGTACCTACCCCGGCCAGGCAGGAGGAACCACTACCTGCTTCCGCACTTCCAGCCGATGATGCAGAAGTGAGGGGAGAGAAGGAAGCCCCTGCTCCCAAGCCACAACCAGTGGTTAAGGAGCATGTACCCAGCTTCCCTTCCCCACTCGACTACACAAAGACAAGCTGGAGACTGAGTTTGCCAAATTCATGGCAATGTTGAAGCAGGTCAACATCAGCATGCCGTTCGTGGAGGCACTGTCGAAGATTCCCAAGTACGCCAAGTTCATGAAGGATATCCTCACCAATAAGAAGAAAATTGGGGATCTCTCGACAGTGATGCTAAGCGAGGAGTGTTCTGCCATCCTGCAGAACAAGCTGCCCGAAAAGCGCAAAGACCCAGGGAGTTTTACTATCCCTCTTGTTATTGCAGCATGCATGTAGGAAAATCCTTTGCAGACCTAGACGCTAGCATTAATGTCATGCAAGGTTGTTAACCCGCGGGTCGACCCGGATTAACCCGGACCCGGCCAAAAAAGGGCCATAGCAACCCTTTTTGCTATCAGCCTGGAAATGGTCAAACCCGGATAAACCCGATCAAACCCGGGTTGGCCTGGCCGGTTAGCCCGTTGGAACGGGTCAGCGGGTTGCTCCTCCTGAGCCCCGTTTTGGCCGCTGCGGCGCCGTTTTGGCGGGGTTAAACGCGACATGAAGTGGCGCCGTTCTGCTGGGACAAGACGCGAACCTTCCTTCTTCTTCCTGCACCTGCAGCGAAACCCTAGGTCGACCATTTTCTATTTCCCTTTCCCACAAGCCGCAGCGCAGCCGTGCCGCTCTCACAACCGATCGCCATCGCCGGTTCTTTGGCGGCGCGCTCGGGGTCGCCGGCAGAATAGCAGGTCGGGCTTCACCGGAGCTCTCCTCCCTTTAGCACCGCTCCGTCTCTGCTCCCTTCAGCTCCGTCGCCTCTGCCCGGCCGCCTCTGCTCGCCTTCACAAACTCTTTTCTTTTGGTAAGGGTTTGAGACTTGTCTGATGTCTCCAATAAATGGAAATGAAGATAAATGTGATTTTTGTTTTAGATGTTTTAGATTAGTTTGATTCCAATTGTTTGATGTTTAAGATGTTAGGAAGAAGTTGAATTGTTTGTTAGTAATTTAGAATTTTGGATTGTTTATGTGGAAGAAGAATTTTAGATTGGTTTTTTTTTCTTTCGTATAGCTAAGGGTTCTTGAATTTTTAACTATGATGGATTTAAGTTGATGTTATGTGAATGATTTAAGTGTTGTTGAATTTTTACTATGTTGAATTTAAGTTGATGTTATTTAAGTGTGTTGTAGTTGAAGTAGTGTTGCATTTTTTTTTATGTTGGATTCAGGATAAATAGAATATATTGGCTCTTTTCATATTTCCGGGCTAAACCGGGCTAAAACGGGTGACCCATTGACCCATGACCCACTAGCTCGTCCGGGTCCGGGTCGACCCGCGGTTTGACAACCTTGATGTCATGCCATACAATCTGTTTAAAAAGCTAGACCTAGGTGAACCTAGCGCGACTAGGATGAGCATTCTGTTAACTGATCGCTCTATTGTGCATCATAGGGGTATCATAGAGGATCTGCTTGTTAAAGTAGGCGCATTCACATATCTTGTTGATTTTGTTATTCTGGATATAAATGAGGATGTGGATGTGCCTTTGATTTTGGGTAGACCATTTCTTGCCACCGCTAAGGCACTTATTGATGTGCATAGTGGTAAACTGATCTTGCGTGCTGGGAATGAACAAACTACTTTTTCTGTGTCTGAGGATGGGGAGCACTCCCATTTGCTTGATGAATTGGATCACTGTGTTATGCCTGCGGTCACACCTATGCATGATATTTCTCACCAGGTGCACGAGCCTGTCGTGTATCCTTCTCGTTTTGCAGGATTCCTCTCTCACTCCTTCGCCGCCACTTCCTCCAACCTCACCGCCAAACAACAAGATCAAGGAGGAGTGGCGGCCAAAGCCGCAGGTGGCTAAGCCTGCTAGGAAGAAAGGTGGCGACCACTATGAGCTGGTCCCACCTCCTGCACCACGACCACCCTGGCCATCCGAGTACTCACTCGCTTGCATCCTGCCGGATGACCAGGTCAAGC